TGACTAAAAAAGAATGAAACTAGAACTTTCATTTTATTTTAGAAACTCTAGAAAATATAGTAGATCATAGAAAAAAAGAAAAATCAAAACATTCGTAGGAATAAAGTTAATAATACAACATATCAAAACACAAGAACACAGCAAAAGAAGTGTTAAAAGGGAAATTTATTGTTTGAGCAATTAGACCTCAAACAAAAAGAATATGTATTTCAAGGTCCTAGAAGAATAACAAACCAAACCTCAAATTTGTAATTTACTAATTATTTTCATAAATTTATTAACTGTTTTAATAAATGATTAAAATTGTAGAAGAAAATTGGGCCTGGCACGGTAGCCTAGTGGCTAAAGTCCTCACCGGTTCTAATCCAAGCAGCCCTGCTTCCCATTCAGCTCCCTGCTTGTGACCTGGGAAAGCAGTCAAGGATGGCCCAAGGCCTTGGTACCCTGTACCAGCAAGAAAGACCCAGAAGAAGCTCCTGGCTCCTGGCTTTGGACTAGCTCAACTCCAGCCATTGCAGTCACTTGGGGAGTGAACCGTCAGATGAAATATCTTAGTCTCTGTCTTTCCTCCTTTCTGTATATCTGCCTTTCCAATAAAAATAAATAAATCTTTTTTAAAAATTGGAGAAGAAATCAACAAAATTGAAACAAAAACACAAAATATCAGTGACATTAGTTGGTATTTTAGAGAAAGAAAGTTCATACATCAATGGTCCAACTAAGCAAAGGAAACAGAAGCAAATCAATAAAAATCTTAGATGAAGAAGATATTACAATGGATACAAAAACAGTCATCAGAAATTATTACAAACAGCAATATGCCAACAAACTGGATATTCCAAAAACAGAAAAAAAGTGGGTAGATGTCTGGACACGTACAATCTACCAAAACTGAATCAGAACACAGAAACCCTAGTTAGACCAATAAGCAAGATGGAGACAAAATCTATAATAAAGACTGTCCCAGTAATGAAAACCCAGGACTGCATGCTTCGCTGCTGAATTCTACCAAATCTTCAAAGAAGAACTATTCCAATTCCTCTCAAGCTATTCAAAATAATTGAGAGTACCCTCTCAAACTCCTTCCATGAGATCAAGATCATGTTAATCCAAACACCAGAAAAATATACAAATAAGAAAACCAATATCCTTGATGAACACAAATGAAAAAAAAATCTTCAACAAAATAATGTATAATCCAATCCAATATCAGGAAGGTCATTCACCTCAAACAAATCATATTTATCCCTGATATGCAAGGATGGTTGAATATATAATCAGATATACCACAATAAGAAATTAAATAAAAACATTTGATTCTCTCAACAGATGCAGAGAAAGCATTTCATAATATACAATTTCTTTTCATGAATAAAAATCTTAAGAAAATTGGGTAGAGAGTTTGGCATGGTGGCTCAACAGGCTAATCGTGGTCTGGTTAGCACCAGCATCCCAGATGAGCACTGGTTCTAATCTTAGCTGTTCCATTTCTAGTTCCCCTCCTTACTTGTGGTCTGGGAAAGCAGTGGAGGATGACCCAAGCCTTGAGATCCTGCACCCATGTGGGAGACCACAAGAGGCTCCTGGCTCCCAGCATCTGATCGGCTCAGCTCTGGCGGCCATTACAGCCATCTGGGGAGTGAACCAGCAGATCTCTCTTGTCTCACCTTCTCTCTGTAAATTTGCCTTCCTTAAAAAAAAAAAAAAAAAAAAAAGATAAATAAATACATCTTTAAAAAGTGGGTATAGAAAGAACATTCCTCCATATAACCAAGGCAATATATGACAAATCCAAAGCCAGTGCCATAATGAGTGAGGAAAAGTTGTATTTCCTCCTACATTCAGAACCAGACAAGGATTCCCACTTTGACCACTGCTATTCAATGCAGTTCTAGAAGTTTTAGCCAGAGCCATTAGGAAAGAAAATGAAATCCAAGGGATACTAATTGGTAAGGAGGAAGTCAATTTATCCCTCTCTGAAGACTGCATGTTCCTATAGGGAAACCAAAAGATCCCAATAAGGTTATTGGAACTTGTAAGAGTTTAGTGAAGTTACAGGATAAGAAATCAACTAAAATAATAAAACTCAATAGCTCTTGTAAACACAAACAATGCCATGGCTAAGAAAAAACTTCTAAGATAAGTACAATTTACAATAGCTACAAAAAAATTTAAATATATGAAAAACCTTTACAATGAAAATTAGAAAACATTAAATAATAGAAGACATAATAAAATGAAAAAATCCTCCATGTTTGTGAATTGAAAGAACAGAGCCTCCGAGAATGAGCTTGAAATAGCCAGTTCCATTACTCACAGCATTTAGATATATTGTAAGTTAAAGCAACTCATCCAAAGATGGTCAGTCTTTTACTTTGACCTTTGCTGTAAAGCAATCTATACTGAGTGCAATAAAGATGCTTAAAGTGGCCCTTGGGAAGCAGGAGTCTTTTGGTGCTATGGGTAGATTCCATTGTGCTTGAATTCCTGACTTACGGGAAACAGAGTTCATCAAGGTTGGGACCCTAATGTTACTGCTCATAATAGGAGTATTATCTATAAATTTTATACTCTTCATGATCTTCATGGCATGAAAGTAAACTGCATCTTGATTCTCACTGACCCTAAAACAAGATAGGATAAGAAAAGAAAAGCTTAAGGGCCTAGACAGTGTGTAAAAGCTATTGAAAGGGGAATTTTAAGGAGCAGGTGCTTAGCCTAGTGGTTAAGATACCTATTCCTAAAAACCAAGTATCTGGGTTTGAATCTCCATTCCAGCTCCTAAGTACAATCTCTTGCTAATCCTGGCTCTAGGAAGCAAGGAGATGACTCATGTCACTGGGTTCCTGCCTCCCGTGGGGAAGACCGGCACTGCATTTCTGGCTCCTGCCCTCAGCCTGGGCCTAGTCCCTGGCATCCTCCCCTCCTTACCCCGGGTTCTTGGACATTGAGGAGTAAGGCTATGGAGGAGCACACTCCCTCACTCCCTCACTCTGTTAAGACAACTTAAAATATATTAAGAGTTCAGTTAATTCAAGAAAGACCAGAAAACTGTTACCAGATGCTGGGGATATCGGGGTAGGGCATTGGGAGACATTCATCAGAAGGTAGGAAGCTTCAGTTACGCAGGAGAAATGGGTTCTGGAGATATTATACAGCATGATGATTACAGCTAATGATAACAACATATTATATGTTTCAAAATAGCTAAGAATAGATTTTAAACATTAGCCTGTTATGCACATTTATAATTTATACAGGAATTGAAACATAACACTGTATAAGATACACACATACAAATTACTATTTGTCAATTAAAAATAAAGCCTAAGAATTCAGTTACTGTAACACATTAAAAAGATTTAAATCTCAACTAATATTAACTTATACAGCAGTTAAATCATGTTGCTCAAATGATGGCACTCTATTTTTTACTCTTAAGAAGTTTAACTTCTCCATCTGTAAAATGGAAATGGTAGTTTTCACAGAACTAAGACAAGGGGCACGGCACCATAACAGAATCAGCAGCCTGTCTGGAAAGTTGTCCTGCACAGATCACTCCTAAATAATAATAAACGACACAGTTATCTGTAACATAGGTTACATCACGGCTAGGTGGGCTAAGTCGCTACCTACAAAGCAGCATTCCGTATCAAGTGCCTGTTTGAGTCCTAGCTACTCGGCTTCCAAACCAGTGTCTTGCTAATGTGTCTGGGAAAGCAGTGGAGCATAGTCCAAATGGGACTATGTCCAACCCTGTCAGCCATATGGGACACCTGGACAGAGTTCCTGGCTCCTGGCTTCGGCCTGACCTATTCTTGGTTCAGCCTTGGTTGTTGTAGCCATTTGAAAAGTGAATTCTCTCTCTGCCTCTTTCTTTCTGCCTTTAAAATAAATATTTTTTCCCAGAAGAAGAAAAAAGGTTACAATACCGAATTTTAAAATGTTGTTTCACAATTTAAAAATAAGAAATGCTAAGTGGAATTTTCTCATGAATTTTGAGCCAAACTTATTCCTCTATTTAAACAAACCAACTTTCTCTATGTGTGTGTGTGTTTATATATATGTATGTATATTATGTATATATAGAGACACACACATATATACATATATATACATATATAGTTTAAATATGTTTATATATATAACACACACATATATATGAGACACTAACAGCATTAGAACTTAACATACACACAGGTCATCAGATTTGTACTTCACCACAGTCATCCACCCTGTGTTTATTACCAAAATAAATCACATCCATCATGATTGTGAACAGTGTTGTTTATATTAAACAAAGGCTCCAATCAAACATACAGAGAAAAGGGAGAAATCAAAGCAATGGAATTGCGGTCAAAGACTGACCTCACAAATGTGTGTTGACATTACTGTCCTGTGAATACAAGGGACCCAGATCACATGGTCAGGCAGGGACGTTCACCTGGGCTGTGAAGTCCTACTGTATGTCAGAGGGCACTTCTGGAAGGAAGTTCTGTAATGGCCCATTCTAAGCACTTGCAGACTTCCTACTAGATCTACACAGGAAGTCATTCTTAGGTCTCACCTGCACAAGTTCCTGTTATGAGGCCAGAGGATGAGGAGTTGAAATCCAGTTCCAGGGAGTGATGTCATCTTGATTGAGTGGTGACCTGCTTCCCAACCTGGTGTTGTTGCAGCCCTTCAGCTGGGGTTCGGGTTACAAGGGGACCAAAAAGGAAAACAGGGAACCGAATAATAGAAAAAGGAAAAATGCTTGCACATTTCCTTTGTTTCACTAAAGCTGTTCTGTTTCCATTTCATCTGGTGCGAGAAGCTGCTCTGTGGCAGATGGAAGCCGTGCAGATGCTCTTGGAGAGGTGTAGGTTCTTTCTTGGACAGATTTTGAAAATACAAAGATGAAAACACACAGAGAATTTCAATTTTTTCTGTTGATTTCTAACTTTGAAAGAGTGACTTGCTTTAGATTAAGTTTAAAAAATAGGCATTGGCACTTTAAATATTTTACAAGTTCTTGTAATTTCTTTAGCAACAAAGAAATAGCAAATACAAATGTTTGGAGATGTATGACTACTCATTCCCCCTAAGAAAAATGTCAAGTAAATCAGGAGTTCAAAACCAGGAATCTCATCCCTGTAAATCAAAAAATGGTACTGCCATTCAGCTGCATTTAGTTGATATCATTTGGTTCTTGGGATACAAAGCTCACAAGCAAAATGCAGTCAAGCACAAGAGGCAATTGAGACCAACAATCTAAAAGCAAGATAAAAGAGAGAACTTTAAGAAGTAAGAACAATAATTAACACTAAAAATAAAAATCTTATACTATTTAATGAATGAGAGAGCCATATATTTTCCATGTTTATTTTACATCATGATTTCTTATTCCTATTAAGTTGATACAGTTTGGAGAAATAAATACTGCCTTCCCTTTTTTGTTGCATGTGTGTTAGCAGAAGTCTGAAGAACATAAATTAGTAAGATAGGAAAAGAAAAGATGAGGTGGAAGAGGAAGACAACAGTGTTTATATGAGCCTTTCTCTGAATAAGCAAGCATCAGTCAACACAGCAAAAAGCTGGGAACACACGGTGTTGTCTTCTCCCAGAAATCATCCAGACCACGTTAGCTACACAGCCTCATGGTACGCGTTTCTGTCCAGGTATTATGTGGACATCCTTTTGTCTCACTTTTTTAAGTCCCATAAATTATTTCATTAATGAAGCACTCTTAGTGTGTTGATTACCGTAATTAACTTGATCAGCTGCCATGTTAGCTGCCATGTAGAGGTCCTTCTTTCAAGTAAACCTTAACTCTGTACTCAGAGCTTCCGATCCGAGGAACTTCTAGAAGGATACTGGTCCTTATGCTGGATTTACAACTCAGCTGTGACACCAAATACAGATTACAGTGAAATTACACCTCCTCCGTTGCAGGTGTGTACAGAACAGCTTCTGGTGAAATTAGCTAATATGTTCTCCAGACGGAAACTGTAAATGAATCTCTCTTAGTCCTTCCATCCATTTCCTCCAAGGTCTTTATCCAGAGGTTTTGGTGCTCCATAGTGACTGTGCCTGTCACACGAAGATCAGCATGGGTGTAAATGACCTTGTTATGTGTTCATCTCATCAGTTCTGCCCAATCCACAGGGGTAAAAAATGGATGTGATTTGATGTCTTCAACACCAGCAACTCCAGCACCAAGACGCTCCAGAGGGTTGAACTGCAAGAGCTAAAAAGAATTCCGTGAGTGACAGGACTCCAAATGGCAAATCAAAGGAAAACAAAATATATGAAAAGGCATATGAAAGAACACAACTTCCAAATTCAACCCAGTGATACTTGGACTTAATTAATAACCTATACTTTCTTGCAAGGGAGCTATGCCTAACACTGCCGTAGGTTGGAAGGGGAGTGGGGGGAATATCTGAACTGAGTTTATGGCTTTTTGAAACATGACCTTGAGAAATTCACTTTGTTTCCCTCACAGTCCTACCAGATAACAAGACAGTAACAACTTGGACTTACTCCAAGGGTACACAATGAGATTAATTAGATTTTGCACAAAACTCCATAAAATCCAGTTACTTCATGATTAGAAAGTTTGGGAGAGCTGCTGCAACTACACAATTCAATGACTTAAAATCGGAGATGTGTAACGATTACCATGCTCCAGTTTTAGAACAGTCTGATTACCTTGAGAAGTCTCCCTATGCCACCTGCAATCAAGCTCCACTCCATCCCCAGCGGTAAGTACTCTCGGATCCATTTTCTGTGCCTGTAAATATCCCCTTTCTGGGCGTTACTTGTAAATAAAACCATAAACTAGGTAGAGTAGTTTGCCACTGCCTTCTATCATTTAGCATGCTTGTAAGACTCATCTACATTCCACAGGTATAAATAGTCTGTTCCTATTCACACCTGAATAGTATTCCACTTTTTGTACCACATTTTGTTAATCCATTTAGGAACTGATGGACATTTGAACTTTTCAGTTTGGGGTTATCATGAATAATGTAGCAATTTGCATTCATGCACAGGCCATTATGCATACACAGGTTTTCATTTCTCTTGAGTATTTCTAGAGAAGAAAAACTGCTGATTCACATGCTAGGTGTATGTGTAACATTTTTTAAAATTGCCTTTAAAATGCCTTACTCTTCTAAAGTGGCTGTACCATTTTACATTCCCAACAGCAAAGTATGAGGGTTCTGGTTTCTTTATATCATCAACAACCTTGGCACTCTCCTTTTTGATAAATGTCTTTCAGATGGGTATTGGTGGCAATTCCAAATGACTAATAATGTTGAGCTTCTTCTCAATCCTTAAGCTTCATTGGTGAAATATCCAATCTTTTGTCCACTACAGTTATGTAACCCGCATTACAAGTATTCCTTCTACATCTGAATACAACAACACCTTTGTCAGATACAAGATTTGCAGCCGTCGTCTCCTGGTCTATGGCTTGCCTTTTCATTTTCTAAATGATGCCCTTAGAAGTGTGATGTATTTCATTTCAATGAAACCCAATTTAATCTTTTCCTGAGATCATGCTTCTGCTGTCACTTTTAATAACTCTGAATCATCCAACATCATGCAATTTTCTGCTTTCTTCTATTATTTTTAGTTTTTGTATGTAAATAATACACACACATACATAAGTTATTAAATTTTGTATATAATGTAAAGCAAGGGCTTTAATCCATTTTGTTTTTAACATGAAAATTTGACTTCCCAGCACCATTTGTAACACTGTTGTTTTAATTACCACTGCTTAGTAGCTACCTAATGTAGGAAACAGTTAGTATAAGCCCTCTAAATTTGATTTCTTTTCAAAAACTTGAACATTCTAGGTTCTCTTCCTTTTCATGTACAATTTGTAATCAACTAAAGGCTTCACCATTTTTGCTGTCTTACAAAAAGCAACTTGTGATTTCCTTGATTTCTCTTGCTTTTTTAACTTCTGCTTCCTCTTATTTGTTCTGGGTTTAATTTGCTTCTTTTTAGAGTCTCATAAAGTATAAACTTAGATTTTAATTTCAGACCTTTTTTTCCCCTCTAATATAGGTATTTAAAGCCATACATTTTCCTCAAGAACTGTTATAATTCCACCCTAAAAATTTTGGTGTACTGTGTGTTACCTTTCATTGTTAAAAACATTTTCCACCTTTTCTTAGGATTTCTTCTTTAAAACATATATATCCTAGAAATGTATTAATTTTAAAATATTTTCACATTAGCAAATATCTTTCAATTGCTAATTCCTAATTCAATTTTGTTAGAGTACACTGTGTGGTTCTAATTTTCAAAGTGTCCTTTGTATTCACTCTTTTATCATCATGAAAACACCTGTCAGTTTCAATTAGGGCACTTGTCTTACTATTTACTTTATCATATTTAATATAGCCACTCCCACTCTTATAGTTAGTATTTCTATGGCTTATCTTGCTCCATATTTTTTGCCTTATACCAAAACATAAAATTGATACTTGTACACAGATGAGAGCTGGAAGTTAATGAAGAGCTGGGTCTTGGTTTTTGACTCAATTTAACAGTGTCTGCCTTTTGTTGGGCATGTTTAGACATTCATTTTGAATTTAATTATTCATATGATAGATTTAGATTCGCTACTTGGCAACTTGTGTCCATAGTCTTTTTTTGCTCTTCATTTAGTGCCTTCTTTAGTATCAAATTTAGTGGCTTCTTTAGTATCAAATGCTTTTTACTGTACCATTTCAGTTCTACTGAATTTTGCATTTAGGATATTTTTGCCAGTTTGCATTTAGGATATTTTTAGTGGTTATTTTAGATTACAACATGCATCTTACAACAATTTACTTCACAATGAGACTAACTTAACCCCTGAACAATTTTTTATTTATTTGAAAAGCAGAGTTACAGAGAAAGAACAAGAGAGAAAGGAAGGAAGGACAGAAGGAAGGAAGTGAGAGAGGAAGGGAGAGAGGGAGGGAAGCAGAGAGGGAAAGAAATAATTGGTCTTCCATCTGCTGGTTTACTCTTCAAATAGGCCCAACCAGGACTCACAGAAGATGCCAGCTCTGCAGGTGGTGAGCTTACGTGTTATGCCACAGTGCCAGCCCCAGACTAACGACTCTACGTTAACCAGTGGCAACTACATTCTACTGAGCCTCTATTCCCTTCCCCTTCCCTATCGCTGTCATATACTTATATATTAACCTATATATGTTATAAACCCAAAAGCATGGTTTTAAAATTATTGTCATGTGATTTTTAATAACTATTTTATGTACTGATAAATGAGGAAAAAATACATTAATCACTTCCAGTAGCTTCTTTCTGCCATTTCCATTGTTCATAACTTCCTCCTCAGGTTTGAGTTCCCACCTGATACCACTGCCTTTCCATCTAAAGGAATTCCTGTAGTATTTTTTATAAGAGAGCCAATGAATTTTCTCAGGCTTTAATTACCTGCGAATGTCGTTATTTTACTTTCATAAAAAAAATTTTTTTTAGCTTGTTTTATTATTTGAAAGGTAGGGAGAGTGTGTGTGACAGAGAGAGAAATGAACAGAATGCGAGCCTTTGCACACACTGGTTGACTCAGCAAGTGTCTGCTGTGACTGGGGCTAGGCCAGCAACAGGAACTCAGTCTGGGTCTTGCACATGGTGGCAGGTCCAAAGCTGCTTGAAGCATTGCCTGTTGCCTCCAAGTTGCACATTATCAGTAAGCTGGAATCCGGGCAGAGCTGGACTTGAGTCCACACACTCTGACATGATGCAGTATGCCAAAGGAGCATGTAAACTGATAGGCCAATGCTCCTTCACCTTGATTTCTGAAGTATAATTGTGCTGCATTTTTATTCAAAGGTGAATTCCTTTCACCAAGTGTGGTTCTCTTGGCATCTTTCCAGGTATCCTTTTGAGATTCAAAGATGCATATGTTAGTGCTTTCTTGGTCAAATTTGGAAGTTTCCAGCCACTTATTTTGAATAATGCCTCTCTCCCTTGCTCCTCTCCTGAAATTGTCACTACATGTATATTGATACTGGTGATAGTACTTTGCAGGTCTATGTGGCTTTGTTCATTTCCCCTTAATCTTTTGTCTTTTTTTTTTATACTGTATCATTTGTATGGATTTATCTTCAAATTCATTGATTCTTTTTTCTTCTATCTCAAATCTGTTATGGAGATGCTCCAGCGGATTGTTTTTCACTTGTGAATTTTTCATTTGAATCAGTAGTTATCAACCTAACCTTTCTACATAGTTCTTTTTCTATCTGACAATTTTTATTTATTAAGTAATTGTTGTCATACTTCCTTTAAGACTTTAAGCACATTTTATTTTCATTCTTTGAAATTACTTATAATGGCTGCTTTGAAGTCATTAAATCCAAAATCTGAGAACACTGATAGACTAATTCCATGGATTTCTTTTCATCCTGCATATAATACTCTTTTGTTCCTTGTATTAGCTTTTACTGAAAAAATAATGAGGCATGTTAGGTAATACATTTTAGCAACTCAGGAGCTCAACTTTTTCCCTGAAGATTAGCACTGCCATTGATTTGTCTGTTCTTTTCTTTGATACTCGTTTCAGCTGTAACTCTGCCAAGCTTGCTTCTCCCCAGTCTGTAGTTGCTGACACCTATCCTTGTTTTATTTCCTTGGTGTTTGTTCATTTGCTTTTGGAAAGCTTGGTTTCCTCAACTTTCAAGTTGTACTCAAATACGTCACTCGTTGAAGCTTTTATCCTCAAGAACAAATTTTAGACCATGAAACCATGCTTCCTTGGCTGCTACCCTTCACTAGGCCTTTTCTCTGTCCCAGCACACTGATGCACCTTTGGGCGTGGTCTACATGGCCTCCGCCCCTTGGGTGTGGTCTACATGGCCTCCTCAACCTGGCATAACTTTCCACCTGATCAAGCAGGAAGGAGAAATGAGACCCAGCTAAGAATGCCACAGGATCCCACTATTCTTTCTGCTGTTCTTTAGGCATAAGCACTTCTCATACTTTTTGGATCCACTTATAGAGCACTAAAATGACTGGTTTTAATGATTATCTCCAATTTTATAATTTTTATGGGCGAGACACTCAAATTCCAGACTATTCCTAAAGCAAGCATTTTTTCCACAACATTACAACCAAGTGCAATTGAAATATTTAAACTATTTTTCACAATACTAATAGTCCTATATGTACAAAAAAATTACACTACCCACGTTTAACCAAAATTTCCTTTCCTTTTCTTTTCTTTTCTTTTACTCTACCTCTAGTTTTTATATTATTCACATACATAAATTCAATTACTTATATGATAAATATCAAAAGACTGCCTCTAGTGTGCCATTTGCAACTGTTTTAAATCTCTTCACCCGTATCACCAGTAGTAGACTGATTCTTATGTGAACAGCCCTGTAACTCATATCAATGAAAAATTATCATCATGAATTTTCAACATGATTCTATGGTAATAATAACAATATACTTTGACATAAGACATACTACATGCCAGGCATTATCCCCATTGATTAATGTAGATTAATTCACGTAATCCACTACTCTACAAAGAGTCACTCTTATCATCTGCATTTTATAGATGAGAAGGTGTTCATGAAAATTAACTTTTTACTCCTTTACTACTAGTTTACTGCCAATAAGACTATAAGACTATAATTGTAGTAAAAGGTACTGACATGGTTTGGATTTAGGTATTCCAACTCTAAAATCCAAGTTTTAATTGTAACATTATACTACTTCATGAATGTGTGATCTAAAAATTCCAATAATCTATTAGTTCACTTCAACATTATCCAATCCATAAAGGGAATGAAGGGTATATCTCAAAACACATTTTCTTTGGAATTATTTTATCTCGCACCCAAAATGTTTCTACCAATGTTTACTGAAGTTAATTGTTCAAAGTATTTTCACAACAGAAGCTGTTAAAATGTGTTAAAAGATTTTCTTATAAAACATACAGAAATCACTTAAATCAAATCTATTTTCACAATAAAGATCATCATATCTACTAATTAAAATGTAGCAGTATCAGATATTTTAATATATCAAGCATATCATATATATTTTAATATAATATCAAGAATTAACTATAACTAGAGCATTATATTTTTTACTATTTCAGGAAACACATATATAACAGCAATTCTTTTAGCTTTGTTACAAGTAGCCCTTACGCCCCACTCTTTTTGAAATATGACTTCAAATTCCAAAGGTTCATATTCCAACTTTTGACTAAAGTTAATTTACTTTGTGTTTTGGAATACACAAAGGTATAATTGTTTCATGCATGACCATCTAGCTATTTTGCCGTTTTACACACTGTAGCAGGCATCAAGAGAGTCACACATAGATTCTATCACTTAAGAGAGAATGTGTCAGCTAGTAGTAGTTTCAAGATAGAGAATCCAAGCCCTCTCCTGAAGAACCGGTGAGAGAACTGAGCCACAGAAGTGTGTTGTGAGGCCTTTTCTTCACACAGTATCTTCTAACTGACACAGCAGCCGTGACATAATTAATTAACCACTGCAGAGCACACACACATGCTCTAAGGATGTTTTTGCACATCAAATGGAACTCTATTTACTTTAGCACCACTCACTTGACTGGGACAGACAAATGAACCATGAGAGCAGGGGATGATGAAATCTAAGAACAAAGCAAGGAGCTGAAAGACCAAAGGGGAGAAAATTCCATCAGAGCAGAATAATTATTTCCAAATAAATCATTGTGTGATTTTTTTCAAAATGACCTCTGACCCGTGAGGTAGTGGAAGAGGAAAGTCAAAATGACAAATTGCTAATCATGCCAAGAGACCCCTCTTCCCTTTCCTGATGATGTTTCCTCAACATGAGTGGTAGTTTCCTTAGGCCAGCCAATGACAGGGGGCTAATTTGCTTTATGTTATGGATATCTGCATTCAGGGACTTAATGTACCGTAATCCTAGCTGCCTCGTCAGTTCTAATAAAGACAGGAACAGAATGCAACATATTATTGTGAGGAATTCTACTTTCAATTAATAGCTACTTCTTTCAAGAAGAGAAACAAAACACAGTAGTAGTTCCTATCTTTCTTCTAAATTATATCCTTGTTCAAACAAAATACTTTGAATTTACCTTGTGCCCCAAAAAGTAAGATTAGATCAAATGAGTAATTATTCACTCTTCCCTATTAAGATGAAATGTTTTATGTGTTTCTTCATTACCTCTTAATACTTAATCCAAAGTGACCTGGGCATTTTTATCTTAGCAGTCCAACTTTGCTATATTTTACAGATTCTGGGTAAACTAATCCTCTGAAGTAGATCTCTGATCTTTCCCTTCTGCAGAGAAATCTTCCAATCTCACATTTCTGATGAACACATCACTATTATTATAGGACCCTGGTGCTTGTAAGAACCAAACTTATCTTTTTGTAACCACCTGCTACTATTATTTATACTAACATTCAGCTTTCTACCTCAGATTAACCACACTTTTGATTTCATAATCTGAGTCTGACTGCTTTCAAGTCTTTGCACAATTTATTCATTCCACCCAGCCACATCTCCACATCCACCCTTGACAAGCTGAAGTCCCAAGGTCTAGCAAAAAGAACATTTAACTCTTTGACAGACTTCATCAAATTCCACTTTTTGTAGCATATAGCACTGTGCCTTCTGTTAAATATCTGTTGAATGAAAGCAAAATCACCTTTCAAAAAATGCTAATTAAGAATATCCTTCCCTCCCCTTTTTTCTTTGCTGGTATTGCGCTTTCCCGGATTTAAAGGGAAAAAAACTATATTGTATCAAACAATTATAGTTCTTGTTCTTTTTCAAATGACATCTTCCTTTATGTTTTTCTTCATGTATGAGGAACCCCAAGCCTGATTATTCTTGTTGATTTGCCTATCATTACACAAAACCATTATTACAAACCATTATTACAAAACCACAATCTCATTATTTAGAACGTTGAAGAGTATTTCAAATATTGGCTATTCACTTTAGAAGCCTACTTGAGTTCAAGCTTGATACTGGGATGCTGAGTTTTTATTATCAAGACTCCTTCTTCAAAGCCACCAGAAATAAGCAAATTGACATCAATGCTCAAGTCTAACAAATGGAGAAAACTGAAATGAAAATGATCTAACTTGGGAATATTTCACAACTGTTCTAATCAACCTGAGTAGGCCATTAGTTTTTATAAGTTGAAATGACTGAAAACAGCAGCAAATATAACAGCAAAAACAGAGCAGCTCCGCCCAACGTATCAACAATACTCAAATCTCACATAAATAGAGAACTGACAAAAGCCTTCATTAAAAAATATAATAAGACCAAATATTTTCTCTGTTCCTACCAATACTCCAGTATTAGCAGAAGCCTAAAGATATCCAGTATTAGCTCTGAATGTGCAATTACAAATGAGTCTCTCTTGCCCAAAACTAATTTCTTTAAAGTTTTAGAAGTAGCACACTTTGCTAAACTAAATAGTTGATATACTTGGGCAATGGGGCGATTAAATTACCTGTTGAATGAGTGAGCGAGCCTCTTCAGAAACACATTCTGGCATGTTCAAGGTAGTATGCGTGTTTATTCCTGCTGGATGGCACTCTACCAGAGTCTGAAACAATCAAGCAGATACACTTCTTATCCCAAACAGCATCATATTCTATTGCCACAGGATTTACAGACAGTAGTACAGAAAATTCAAATTTAACCTCAATCTGAAGCATAATAATTAACACAGTGTCACCCATGCAATTTAGGCTGAGAACTAACAGTCCACAGAACTCCTAACAGCAACAAAGGCCGACAATCCTCACGGTCACATCATAAGCCTAGCATGTTACCATGTCCACCCTCTTCATTTTAAGATGAACGATTTATAATAGAAAAGTTTATATTATACTCTAAACAGAGAATTAATACCTTTTAAATACCTAATACTGTTTCAAAATCAAATTAAATCTCCAAAGTTTTTAGACTGTATTGACACTTTTTACCCTGGTGTAGCACCTTAAGTGCATACAAAGGTGATTTACAAAAGTCAACTTCACAACAGTGTTAAGTCACTATTCTACATATTTAAGGGACAGTACTATTTGCTACAATACAATTGCTCATTTCCTTTATATTAAAGTCTGTTAATCTCAAGCATCATATTGAAAGCATCATACTTAGAGCAGGCACTGGGCTCATAGATAAGACACCATCGGGGATATTCACATCCCATACACAAGTGACTGATTTGAAACAGCTCCTCCCCTCTCGATTCCTCTACCTGCTAATGTGTATCACTGCAGGACACAGTAGGATGGTTCAAGCACTCCAGGCTCTTGGCTTCAGTCTATCTCAGCCCTATCTGCTGTGGACATCTGGGGAGTAGACTAGCTGATAAAGATATTTCCCCGTCTCTCTGTCTTCCAAATGTAGTAGAAATAATTTTTTAAAAGCTTTTCTGTAAAAGTTACTTACCAGAGAGTATATAAATTCTTTCCCTCAGTATAGGTAGGGAAAATTACAGTATTGAGGAAAAAATATTACCATTGATGCCTATATTAATTTTCTAAAATGAGAATTCATTCCTGGCCCCATAAAGGTATTTAAAACATACAGAGACTTCTAATACATCCTTACATAAACCTTAAAGCTCTAACCCTTTATATTAAATTAGAGTTACAGATAACAAAGAATATTCAGCCTTCTACCTCACTAACACTAGGATGTAACTTTACTAACAATTTGTTCAAAAAATACAATTTCACTTTAAAAAAAAATTTAGATTCTTGGTAGACTTCCAATTCTCTACTTGTTTTTGGTATCAAACATTTTCTTACTTAGTCTGTGACCTAAAAAGTAAAGGAAAAGGCTAATGTTCTCGATTTGAAATCAAGGCAGCATCTGGATAAATTTATTAAATGTCCAGGTCACTGCTTACCTTGCCAGTGAGAAGTTCAAAGAGGACAGCACCCAAACTCCACCAATCACAGGCTTCCGTTTCTTCCGTGATTGCTCCAACCTCTGAACATACCATAAAAGGTTGATATTAAAATTCCAAAGGTCAATTAAACTTTCAAAATTAACATGTATTAGCAAGGTGACCTCTTTAATGCTGAGCGAGCAGATACTAAATACTACTGGGCTTTCAAAATTCCTGAAAGTTACTTATCCCTTTGGTCACCTACTGTGGTTGCATTTTTTTTTTTTCTTGACGTGGTCATATATTAAACTGAGGCATTTGTTCTTTAGTTGATAGAGGGACACCTTCAAGACACTATGCTTAAAAGTTATATGAACCTACACAATCGGCATTTGCCTGGTTTTTCAAATTTGAGAAGGAATATATCTTTTGTGTCTTAGAAGGAACTTCAAAAATCATCAGTAGCAACATTAATTATTCTTCTACTTAGAGGTTAGAAGCCAGAGAGGTGACACGCCCTTCCTAATGTCATACAGCACAGTCATCTTCCTTCCTCCATATAACCAATGGTTTTCAACCACGAAAGAGCAATCCACCAACTGTGCTCCTTAGAAAAAAGATCTAGTGTTTGAAGCCACCACTGAAACTATTAACTAAAATAAGAGCTTTTACAAATTTACAGATTGTAATTCTTTCTGTAATGTCCAACTCTTACCAGCACAAGTTCTCTACACAAAGTGTGAGTTTGTAGGTGCCATCTTTCAGTCTCCTGTACACATCAGCAAGCACTCCTGATTTTACCATTCTTTAAGCTTTTATACCTTAATGTCATTATTTGATGGGTTCTTGTCCTTTCATGATGACATTCAATTCATCAGCAACCCTTATCAATATCTACCCTTTCATTTCCACTTGGTTGTAGAAAAATCCCTATTATTTGATAATAAGTAGCCCACAGCTCACAATAACATCAGTTTATAAGCAGTTAGAATGGAAGCAGAAGGTAATAAATGGAAGAGGCTGTAGCTACATAGTTTTTAAACAATGCTTAGTACACCAGCTGTTTAACAGAAAGTTCCTAAAACAGTACGAGCTTCAAGTGAAGCAGCAAACGTCATGTGAGCCAAAACAGCAACAACAACAAAACAGCAATTCATTTATAAAGTACTGAATTTACTCCACTGCAGGAAACTCAACTCACATGCACACTTTTCCTGTGTTTCAGGAGGCACAAGACTATGAATTTCATAGCTAGCACTTTGTTAGTCCACTTCTCTCAAGCACAAATCACAGTCTCAATTCTATACTAGTTAACTTCAGTGAGGTGATAAATTAACTAGTTCAAACTACTGTACAAATAGTTGGACTGCTCCTATAGAACCACTGGCCCTTGTAAAATAGCTGCTGGTTTGAGAAATTCAGAATCACCTGTCTAATGACACAAGTTTAATCAAATACGTTGCACATCTCTATGATGGGTTACAACTATACAACCATTTTAAATGATGCCTTCCTATAAGATTTAAGTACATAAGTAAATGGCAAATACATAAATATGTACTACATTACTTTTAAAAAGCTGGAAAACAAACAGATTCTTAAAAGTATGTTTAGAAAAAAAAGATTTAAAAATTCAAATGTTTTAGTAATTTGCCTCTGGAGTGGTAATTTTTAAAAAGTTTTAATTTATTTATTTGAAAGATACAGGACATAGAGAAGATATCTCCTATCTGCTGATTCATTTCCCAAATATCCACAGTCAAGCCTGGGCAAGGTCAAAGCCAGAGGCTCAGAACTCAACCCAGGTCTCTGATGTAGGTGGGTGTTGAGAATTGGGATATTTGTGCCAGCACCTGCCATCCCCTGGCATGTGCATTACCAGGAAGCTGGAATTGGCAGCAGAGCTGAGGCGCATCCCAAGATAATATGGTGTGAGTATCCCAAGTGATGTCTTAACCTCTGCACCAAGCATCTACCCTTACAACATTTACACTTAGGAAGTCACAGGAACTGTCCAACCTCGACGGTGTAAGTCTTAGAAGTAGAGCTGAAAACATTCAGGCCCATTACTCTGGAACAGAAAGCAGCAGCCATATACATGATAATCCTCCCTGAGTGTCTGTTCACTTCCAGACTTTGCTTCAGAGAGAACGTGGGCTAGGAATCAGGGGTCCTGGGATGGTTCTTCAGGAATTCACGTATCCGGTCTGTAAAAGTAAAGAGCTGAGGGTCTCTTGGTTAAATTTAGCTCTATGTCCATGATTCTGATACTTGGATTTCCCTAAAATAGCGATCCTCATAAAGAACAGCTGCTGGGTGCTCCAACTCAATCAATGCAAGCCGCTCCCAGATTCAGCAACAATGCCCACCTGCCCCCCCAGAAAGCTGCTATTACTTCCAGAAGTGTGTGCTACGGGAAAGGATATGTGTTTTGAAACTTTAGAAGAGTGAAACAGAAAATTTATTACAGTTATATCATCAAATATAACCTTTTGCTCCTTTCCTCCCAGTATAAAGCAGACAATGTATTACATCATTTCCCTGTTCCAAATTCTTAAATGGCTTCTCACTGACCAATAAGCAGCATTTAAACAGCTTGCTCAATCAGGCATGCATATATGTAACCAGGCCTTCATAAGAAAGTCTGGACCTATCAGATTTATTCAAACAGAGCACATGAAGCAGCTAAAGAGGGAACATACAATAGGCACTATTCCTCAACTGAATTCTTATACTTTGACCACACTGCTATAAAAAAAAAAAAATCCCCACTATCACATTATTAGGTTTTACTTTTAAATATCACTTGGCTCAAGAATTTCGTTTATTCTGGTTGCTGTTGCCATACAGCAAGCAATATATGCTTATATTTCTTAGTTTGGTGAAGGCTTGTAACTAGTTCACAATTCCCTACGTGAAGCCATCTCTTGGCCATCTGTTTTGACTCTGCCACCAGCAGGCCTCACTTTGCATGCATGAATGACGTTCTGCTCACAGTAGGTGCACACATTGTGAAGATGATATTCCCCACAAGAAAAATGGCAGCTAACCTTTGCTGACTGCTTACTGCAGGGAAGGAGCCAAATAGGACACCTTACATGAATTATTTACAATTACCCATGCAACCTTATAAAGGATGTATTATGGCAGGGTAACTCTGAGAGAAACAGAATATTCTATTTCTGTGTTCGGGAAGAAGAGAAACATGTAGACCAGTCACCCCATAAAGAGATGTGCAAATGAACAGATGGTCCTGTGGTATGAGGAGCACTAGACTAGAACCACGGCCCAAGTCTCTGCTCACAAGGTTTCTTGTTGGAAATGAGTTTGGGCATCCTGAGATGGATTTATGTAATGAGTGGTTAACATCGTTTAGAGAGGCACCTTTCAAATTCATTGCCATCACCAGTGAAACCTAAACCATAAAAAACTACATGCAAGGCCTGTTCTCTCACATGACTCCTGGGAACCTGCTCCAGTCCCACGCCCCACAGTGTGTGGGTGGGGATGCAGGAGCACATTCTGAAGCCACCAGATAAATGCATATACTACATCTTGTGGAAGCTCAATGGGTTTGTATGACAGACAGTGGGATACTGTTTTACTGTTAGCAGAAACAGGCATCTATTACAGGGCATAATGTGAAATGTGCATGCATTTGCCAAAGACTCTGAAGCAAACTCTGTTTCACTAGTGCCCTAGGGCTGTCCATTTGCTATCACCCCCCTCCCAGTCAGAAGTACCTGGGAAGAGATACTAGGGAGGCACACATGAGACAGATAAGGCTGTCCGTTCCTTGACTGGTTTCTGTGAACCTGTTCCAGGAAAGAGTTTAAGAACCAGGGAAAGAAGTTCTGGGCTCCTTCAAAATCCCTGGTACCAGGTCCTTCACAAGCAGATAATGACCATTGCAAATGTAGGCTGTTTACCACAGTGCCTGATGCGCCCAACGCATAGGTCACAGAGATGGCAACAAGTAACCAAGGAAAGCCCTAAAGCCAATTCAGTTTCCCACCTGCAGTTGGGCTGGAGAGCTGGTCCAGAGTGCCTATGCAGCGTGTGAAGTCACTGCTGGTGATAACTCACACTGCAGGCCACAGCCACTTCTTTCACCCTCACTTTTCTCATCCATCTTCCTTTGACTCTTACCTCTTTCTTCTTCCCTAACAGCCTTCCTCTTTGCCTTTCCTTGAGTTTGATAATAAACATAAAATGGTAAATTTTCCCATGAAAATACAGAGGGGGGGAACAATGAAGAAATAGTGAACCACCCTCGAAATTCTTCAAAATGACTTTCTAGTAGCAGGGATTCACTAATTATGTGAAATTGACATCATGACCAACTGTCCTTGATTTTCACAGATGACACTAAGCTACAACAAAGAATTCTCCAGGTAACATACAAAGAACTTCCTACCAGCTGGGAGGTTTAAATATTAGAACAAATGAAAGTAAGAACTTAGAAGATTTCTTTTCAGTTTTGAGGCATAGAATTTCTTTTTCTTTTAATTACAAAAATGAAGAGCATGAGTTGTCCTTTTAATATCCTTAAGGACAAAAACGTTTTAGATTAAAGGTCTAATATACACACTGAAAGTTTATGGCTCAAAAGATGCCTGAGGTTGTATGGCTAGCTGTTGCTTTTTACTTGTCAAAACTTACACAAAAAGCTTAAACACAAGAGTGTGGATTCATATACAAATCTACATGATACTTAGCACAGGCACAGGATACGTGTGTCTATGGTTAAAAGTAGATGATATAAAGAAATAAATCTGTAAAGCTATTATAAAAGTCTAACAAAACAGAGAAATCCCTTTAAATTTTTACTCAAATTTGAAAGATCTTTAAAAAGTAGCAGGGGCTGCTTGTGGCCTGGGAAAGCAGTCGAGGACGGCCCAAAGCCTTGGGACACTGCACCCCTGTGGGAGACCTGGAGGAAATTCCTGGATCCTGGCTTCGGATCAGCATAGCACTGGCCGTTGCGCTCACTTGGGGAGTGAGTCACTGGATGGAGGATCTTCCTCTCTGTCTCTTCTCCTCTCTGTATATCTGACTTTCCAATAAAAATAAATAAATCTTAAAAAAAAGTAGCAGGGGA